ATCGGTGTTCAGTACTTTCAGATGAACTCAATGGCAAAGTGTATTTCGTGCGACGTTTGTTTTTTTTAGCTGGGATCTGAGCGGTATTCTCACGAACGGTGCGCTCAGACCCCAGCTATCCACCGAACGTTCATTCGTTTAAATCACTTGAATATTATAAAAGTTACACATTTAAATGTAAAATGTCGGTTCTGCTGCACGGAGGGATAATCCACTTAACGGTATATTCCAGTGAGAATATGCCTCTCATCCAGCAGTGCCTGATGGGAGAAATGTTCTGAATGTTAAGTCCCCCATGTAGTCCTCTACTGTATTACCCATGCAATGTCAGTAGGTAAACCCCTTGCATGGGGACTTGCATAAATACTGGATGCTGTGAAGAAAAACCTCAGTTGACTAAGAACTGTGTTTCGTCCGGTTACAGGGGGATTTGGGATATTGCCTTACTTTTCAGCGCTTGAATGTGGATTACCTTCTTTACCAGCGGAGATCATGGAATTTAATATTGCCGCTATGCTACAGCATCCTATTGCGAGGTAAACCAGCTCAGAGACACCGTTCGTTGAGTTACAAATTGAGGGCAACGCTAGCACTCGTGCAGCGCCCCTGGGAGCAGAGGTATCCAGCGACTTGGAGCAGACAGGTATTGTAGGCTCTGGCTCTGAAGATGATTGGCTGGTCGAGGTGAGGCAGCGAGTGGCCCAATATGGGGATGATGTACCCATGGAGATATGCTGGGTGATCTGGAACCATGTCACGGCCGAGCGAAACACAAGGCTGGACCGAGAATTCTGGCTGGCGAAAGAAAGAGAGTATGCTCAGCGGAAGGAGTGTTACAGCAGCCGAGTAGAGGCTGCATCCGAGGAGGAACCGTCTTCCCCTGAGGCGTCCGGAGGAACCCGAAGTAGGGGTCCTCATAGACTGGTCCTGTGAGGAACCACAACAGGCAATGGAGATGGGACCGAGGTCTTTCCACCGGGCCCACCGTGATGCTGGGCAGCCGGCCCAGATCCACAGCAGCAGCTGGAGTTGCGAGGTGCGGAAGCAGGTGGTCCTTACTTGCAAATGTTGAGAGACCTCACAGACTGGTCCTAGGGAAGACCCACAGATGGCAGGTGGGATGCTGGGCGGTTGGCTCAGATCCCCAGTGGCTGTTTGTATCACAGGGAGCTGAAGGTGCTGTCCTTCCTCCCCAGCAGCTGTATGTATCACAGGGAGCCGAAGGTGCCGTCCTTCCTCCCCAGAGGCTGAAAGTGTGTAAGGGAGAGGAGCTTGTTACCCCCTCTCCCCAGTGGCAGCATAGCCCACCAAGGGGAGACACTAAGCCCCCCACCAGCACAAATGGGACCGTGGTCTCTGCGCCCAAGCTACAGGGACAATCGGTCCTGTTCCCCAGTGGCAGAGTATTCTATCAGGAGGGGAGAGTCTCATTCCCCCTCCCCAGCGGCAGCCTAGCCCACCAAGGGGAGATGATAAGCCCCACACCGGTGAAGATGGGACCATGGTCACTGTGCCCAAACCACAGGGTGTAGGGACAGTCGGTCCTGTCCCCTGCAGCAGGACTGTTTATCAAAAGGGGATACAGTCAGTCTCCAGCAGCAGCACCGGGACCAGGGAGAGGAGCCTACCACCCCCTCTTCACAGCTGGGCTCCAAGCAGACTACTCAGCTGAAGTGCTGGCACCAGGGCAGAGTATCGCTGGTCACTGCCCACTCAGCAACCCATAGATCCGGAGTACCCGTACCAAAGACAGCCGTGATGGAGCCCCTGGACAAAGACTGGCTGCATGTTTCCCCCGGTGCAGTAACTTTTCATTGTGGGTGGGCTGCACTACTGACTATGTTTTAGAAACATAGAAACATAGAATGTGATGGCAGATAAGAACCATTCGGCCCATCTAGTCTGCCCAATTTTCTAAATACTTTTATTAGTCCCTAGCCTTATCTTATAGTTAGGATAGCCTAATGCCTATCCCACGCATGCTTAAACTTCTTTACTGTGTTAACCTCTACCACTTCAGCTGGAAGGCTATTCCATGCATCCACTACTCTCTCAGTAAAGTAATACTTCCTGATATTTTTAAATCTTTGTCCCTATAATTTAAGACTATGTCCTCTTGTTGTGGTAGTTTTTCTTCTTTTAAATATAGTCTCCTCCTTTACTGTGTTTGTAATGGCACCCCCAGGCATAAAAGGGGTTAAAAGCTGTTTAGTAGATCTTCCCTTCCAGAGACACAGGCAGCTACTGTAGACACCAATCCAACGAACCGGAGAAGCATATGAATGCTCTCAAACATACGAATACTGTAAACAGCGCGAATAGGAAAAACCATACGAATAGGTTTACACTCCTAGCAGTCGAACTGGAACAGCATACAATAAATTCCCCCAAGAACGAGACAAGCCTCCGTTTTGAGGGTCAAGCAGGAACAGACAGAGCTGTGGGTTTATTGTTCTTATATGCACATTAGTACCACCCACAGGGTTTTGGAAAACAACCAATAAACATGTACAATACACTCAGACACTCCAACACAAAATCCTCCCGTGTGCCTGTGATACAATTACCTTACACAATGGGTAATGTAATTATTACATCCAGAGAAATACAGTTTTTCCACACTATTCATAACTTAAATAGTATGCATCACATTCACATACATTTTCAGAATCAGCATACTCCAAATACAAACATATGTCAAAATCATCCAAATTGGTTCATTGGTTCAAAAGATAGATCGAAGTCCTTTGTGACCAAATGAAGCATGGCTTTTCTGGCCAAAACCAGTTCCACAGAGTCTTCTATCCTGGAGATAATTTGGAAGTAATCCAATTATCTCCAAGGACAGAGGCAAAACTCCATTAAGCACATGGCAGTAAAAAGACAGTAAAATACATAAAAATATATAACTGTGCAGCGATTGCATAAAACGGGTACTTTCAACATATCCCCAGATAGCTTAGATCTGAGCGCAAATTATTGGAAGGAGCTGCAGCTAACATTTTTTTTTCACACACTACTCTTCTACCTGGCTTTTATTTTATTGGCACAGCCAGTATTTGAGGCTGCCTGGCTGGTGCAAATATTGCAGTGATACTGGCAATACAAATGCTGGTATTTTTCTCAGTATAAACAAGATATTACTCTGCAATACGAGCACTGGTCAGTAGGGGTCGCTGTGTGTGGAGACAGGCAGGGATAGGAAGTTCCTCCCTCCCTGTCTATCTATACTCACTGATCTGCAGGGGTGCAGCTAAAGAGAGTCCAGACAGCAACTCCCACCCTGCAGAGACAGCCTACAGCTCAGGGAAGTAAGGGATGGGGGAAAAGGCTGCAAGGAGACATACACTGAGACACTAAGGGACATTGGGAGACATTATGGCAGACACTGAGACACTAAGGGACATTGGGAGACATTATGGCAGACACTGAGACACTAAGGGGCACTGGGAGACATTATGGCAGACACTGAGACACTAAGAGACATTGGGAGACAATATGGAAGAAACTGAGACACTAAGGGACGTTGGGAGACATTATGGCAGACGCTGAGACACTAAGGGACGTTGGGAGACATTATGGCAGACACTGAGACACTAAGGGACACTGGGAGACATTATGGCAGACACTGAGACACTAAGGGACACTGGGAGACATTATGGCAGACACTGAGACACTAAGGGACACTGGGAGACATTATGGCAGACACTGGGACACTAAAGGACACTGGGAGACATTATGGCAGACACTGGGACACTAAGGGACACTGGGAGACATTATGGCAGACACTGAGACACTAAGGGACATTGGGAGAAATTATGGCAGACACTGAAACACTAAGGGACACTGGGAGACATTATGGCAGACACTGAGACACTAAGGGACACTGGGAGACATTATGGCAGACACTGGGACACTAAGGGACATTGGGAGACATTATGGCAGACACTGGGACACCAAGGGACATTGGGAGACATTATGGCAGACACTGAGACACTAAGGGACCCTGGGAGACATTATGGCAGACACTGAGACACTAAGGGACCCTGGGAGACATTATGAAAGACACTGAGACACTAAGGGACATTGGGAGACATTATGGCAGACACTGAGACACTAAGGGACATTGGGAGACATTATGGCAGGCACTGAGACACTAAGGGACATTGGGAGACATTATGGCAGACAATGAGACACTAAGGGACATTGGGAGACATTATGTCAGACACTGGGACACTAAGGGACATTGGGAGACATTATGGCAGGCACTGAGACACTAAGGGACCCTGGGAGACATTGTGGCAGACACTGAGACACTAAGGGACATTGGGAGACATTATGGCAGGCACTGAGACACTAAGGGACCCTGGGAGACATTATGGCAGACACTGAGACACTAAGGGGCACTGGGAGACATTATAGCAGACACTGAGACACTAAGGGACCCTGGGAGACATTATGGCAGACACTGAGACACTAAAGGACATTGGGAGACATTATGGCAGACACTGAGACACTAAGGGACATTGTTAGACACCGAGACACTAAGGGACATTGGGAGACATTATGGCAGACACTGGGACACTAAGTGACATTGGTAGACGTTATGGCAGACACTGAGACACTAAAGGACAATGGGAGACATTATGGCAGACACTGAGACACTAAGGGACATTGGGAGAAATTATGGCAGACAGTGAGACACTAAGGGACACTGGGAGACATTATGGCAGACACTGGGACACTAAGGGACATTGGGAGACATTATGGCAGACACTGGGACACCAAGGGACATTGGGAGACATTATGGCAGACACTGAGACACTAAGGGACCATGGGAGACATTATGGCAGACACTGAGACACTAAGGGACCCTGGGAGACATTATGGAAGACACTGAGACACTAAGGGACATTGGGAGACATTATGGCAGACACTGAGACACTAAGGGACATTGGGAGACATTATAGCAGGCACTGAGACACTAAGGGACATTGGGAGACATTATGGCAGACAATGAGACAATAAGGGACATTGGGAGATGTTATGGAAGACACTGAGACACTAAGGGACATTGGGAGACGTCTCCCAATGTCCCTTAATGTCTCAGTGTCTTCCATAATGTCTCCCAATGTCCCTTAGTGTCTCATTGTCTGCCATAATGTCTCCCAATGTCCCTTAGGGTCTCAGTGTCTGCCATAATGTCTCCCAATGTCCCTTAGTGTCTCAGTGTTACGATTGCCCCCGGTCTAGCAGGAGGGTTGATCGCTTGGATGTCCTGGTTCCCGCTGCAGAGGGTCGAACGGAGGTCTTTCGGTAGTAAGCTGCAAATGTAGAATATCCCCAAGCACGATATAAGCATCAATATCCCGGATCCCTACAACATGAGTCGAGGCTGCAAGTTGAGGGTCAAAACGAACTGGCTTTACTGGCACATAGCATGGCAATTTATGTGATTCCTCAGGTCCATGGACAGCCCCCTGTGGACCTGATGGAATACAGGTACATTACAAACAGGTAACCAATCACATTACACTGTATCATTTGAATTAGTACCCGCCCAGCTTGGAGATAATGAGGCCAACGGTTTTACAATCTAATTATCTCCAAGCGCACAAAATACCACGTTTTATTATGTCCCAGAAAACTACATGAAAATCCATAACTTGCACATTATTACAGGAAAACCACTCATTATTGCAGGAAAACCACTCATTCTTGTATATAAAACAGGCGAATGGCGCTCTAATCCCACGAACAGAATGGACTGTTTCTGCCGTATAAAGTCTGTTCGGCATTTTGAGATTGTTAGTCTTTGTTGGCGGCCATGTTTTCTGCTGGGTTAGCGGGCAGCGGGACTTCGTGTCTAACTCGTGGAACTAAACTCAGTATCAGTTCATGCGAAGTACCGCTGTCTGTCTGGTAGTGGGGCTCGTTCGGTAAGGGAATGAGGACCACCTGGTAACAGGGTACTTGACCTGCGGTTAACCACAGAAACCACAAGGTAATGACCGCCACTCGGCCTGCTGTAGGGGGTCGTTGGTCGGTTAGTAGTTCGGTGTATTCCGTTCGGTATTTGGATGCGAACGTCGATGCCCCCAGGCCTCTCAATTACGTTGAGGTTAACCGCAAACCACAGCTGCCTGGGTGGTTAATGGCTGCCACACGCCGCTGGCTGGGTGGTCGAGCGTTCGGCAGTTTGCGGGGTGACGGGGTTAAGTGGCGGCACACGCCAATTCTGGGGGGTCCGCTGTTGGTACCACGAATGGGTCTTTTATAATGGTTCGGGTAATCAATTTGTGCGTCTTTTCGTTTTAAACTTATGCAGGGACAAACAGTATCCATCGGTTAGCAAACAGTAACATAGTTAGTTTCAGTCTTTTGTAACACTCAGTGTCTGCCATAATGTCTACCAATGTCCCTTCTTGTCTCAGTGTCTTTCATAATGTCTCTCAGGGTCCCTTAGTGTCTCAGTGTCTGCCATAATGTCTCCCAATGTCCCTTAGTGTCTCAGTGTCTGCCATAATGTCTCCCAATGTCCCTTAGTGTCTCAGTGTCTGCCATAATGTCTCCCAATGTCCCTTAGTGTCTCAGTGTCTGCCACAATGTCTCCCAGGGTCCCTTAGTGTCTCACTGTCTGCCATAATGTCTCCCAGGGTCCCTTACTGTCTCAGTGTCTGCCATAATGTCTCCCAATGTCCCTTAGTGTCTCAGTGTCTGCCATAATGTCTACCAATGTCCCTTAGTGTCCCAGTGTCTGCCATAATGTCTCCCAATGTCACTTAGTGTCTCAGTGTCTGCCATAAAGTCTCCCAATGTCCCTTAGTGTCTCAGTGTCTTCCATAACATCTCCCAATGTCCCTTAGTGTCTCGGGTGTCACTGAGACACTAAGGGACATTGGGAGACGTTATGGCAGACACTGAGACACTAAGGGACATTGGGAGATGTTATGGAAGACACTGAGACAATAAGGGACATTGGGAGACTTTATGGCAGACACTGACACTAAGTGACATTGGGAGACATTATGGCAGACACTGACTCTAAGGTACATCAGGAGACATTATTGCAGACACTGAGACACTAAGGGACACTGGGAGACATTATGGCAGACACTGAGACACTAAGGGACATTGGGAGATGTTATGGAAGACACTGGGACACTAAGGGACATTGGGAGACATTATGGCAGACACTGGGACACTAAGGGACATTGGGAGACATTATGGCAGACACTGACTCTAAGGTACATCAGGAGACATTATTGCAGACACTGAGACACTAAGGGACACTGGGAGACATTATGGCAGACACTGAGACACTAAGGGGCACTGGGAGACATTATGGCTGACATTGAGACAGTAAGGGACCCTGGGAGACATTATGGCAGACAGTGAGACACTAAGGGACCCTGGGAGACATTGTGGCAGACACTGAGACACTAAGGGACATTGGGAGACATTATGGCAGACACTGACACTAAGTGACATTGGGAGACATTATGGCAGACACCGAGACACTAAGGGACATTGGGAGACATTATGGCAGACACTGGGACACTAAGGGACATTGGGAGACATTATGGCAGACACTGACACTAAGGGACATTATGGCAGACACTGAGACACTAAGGGACACTGGGAGACATTATGGCAGACACTGAGACACTAAGGGGCACTGGGAGACATTATGGCAGACACTGAGACACTAAGGGACCCTGGGAGACATTATGGCAGACACTGAGACACTAAGGGACATTGGGAGACATTATGGCAGACACTGAGACACTAAGGGACATTGGGAGATGTTATGGAAGACACTGAGACACTAAGGGACATTGGGGGACTTTATGGCAGACACTGGGACACTAAGGGACCCTGGGAGACATTATGGCAGACACTGAGACACTAAGGGACATTGTGAGACATTATGGCAGACACTGAGACACTAAGGGACATTGGGAGACATTATGGCAGACACTGAGACACTAAGGGACACTGGGAGACATTATGGCAGACACTGAGACACTAATGTGTCACAGCTAGAGTCCCCTAATCTCCTAGTGACACTAAGGGACATTGGGAGACATTATGGCAGACACTGAGACATTAAGGGACATTGGGAGAGATTATGGCAGACACTGATACACTAAGGGACATTGGGAGATGTTATGTAAGACACTGAGACACTAAGGGACATTGGGAGACTTTATGGCAGACACTGAGACACTACGTGACATTGGTTAACAATATGGCAGACACTGGGACACTAAGGGACATTGGGAGACATTATGGCAGACACTGAGACACTAATGTGTCACAGCTAGAGTCCCCTAGTCTCCCAGTGTCACTGGTGTCTCCACCTGTCCCTAGGTCTCCCCGTCTTCCTTGTGTCCTAGTGACATAGGGACCCTGGGATACATGGGGACACAGGGAGACATGGGGCATTGAGACACTGATACATAGGATCACAGGGAGACCTGTGGACACAACACTAGAGGACACTGGGAGACATGGGGCACTGAGACACTGATACATAGGAACACTGAGACCTGGAGTAATCGACACATGGGGGCACTGAGTCATAAGGGCACTGGGAGGAATCCATCTATATAGCAGATTTAAACTAAGTAGTTTTTTGGTTATTTTACAGCATTTTCTCTTATGTCACTCCTTGTGATTTACATCATGTGATGTCACCCACACATATTTAATTATGCAAATTAGTAAGGGCGGCATGTTTTTCCAAGAAAGGTGGCAACCGTAACTACGTTTCACATACTCTTACTTAAGTATGGAAACTTAAGAGGGATGTATGGTAACAACACTTGTGTGGACTGGCTGACAATGAATATAGTTAAAGGGACACTATAGTCACCATAACAACTACAGCTTATTGAATTTGTTCTGGTGAGTAGAATCATTACCGTCAGGCTTTTTGCTGTAACCACTGTCTTTTCAGAGAAAATGCAGTCTTTACATTACATCCTATTGATAACTTCACTGGCCACTCCTTGACTGTAAGAGATCCTTCCTGGGTCATGGCTGCCTAAAATGCATCCAAACATTCAGTGTCTCCTCCCTCTGCATGCAGACACTGAACTTTCCTCATAGAGATTCATTAATTAAATTTATCTATATAAGGAGATTCTGATTGGCCAGGGCTGGGTTTGAATCATGCTGGCTCTGACACTGATCTGCCTCTTTGTCAGTCTCAGCCAATCCTATGGGGAAGCACTGTGATTGGATCAGGCTACCACTTCTAATGATGTCAGCAGACTGCTTGTTTTTATGAGTCTAACAGCATGCAGATAACAACAGAGGTTCCTCCTCCAGTGAAACTGACTGGTCAGACCAAGACCAACCACCTCAACCCAGACGAAGAGCCCCAGTTAAATACAATACTGATCACACAGGAGATCTGAGCTTCCAACCTTGTCACAACAAAAGTATTTTTAAACACTCAGATAAGGCAGTCTCATTTCTAGACATACCGATTTCCACAGATGTCAATAATTCCCAGACCACTACTACCACGCTGTCAAATCCTTTTTTAGAACAGGACCAACCTCGCCAACAAAGAGGTCGACTGAGAGACAGGGATCGGTGGGCTTACAAGAATCAGAGTCGTACTCAGAGGTTATAGTTTCTAACAAGATAATTAATCTGTCCAATTTCCATCTATCTATTCATAACACTACCTTGTTAAATAGGTGTTTATCATTTGTACCAACTCCTTCCTGCAATAAATTTAACTAGTCTAAGGATGTCAACAGCAAAAAACAAATGTGAGGTAGGCTGAACTTGATGGACGCAAGTCTCTTTTCAGCCATGTAACTATGTAACTATGTAACTTCTTTGGCAGGAAATTGGCTCTCAATATTATGCATGCCAAGAAGGACCAAACTTCGGCCAATGAATTAGGATTATCTATAAAGGATTATGAACTCTCCAAAACTTTGGACAGCCTTTTGGAATGACCCCTATAGACCTCTGACAGACTATAAACCTCAAAGTTATTTTACCCCAAATTTTATTGACACTCCCCATGTCGATCTTTTTGTACAAATGTCACTTAAAGAATTGGAAAACATGGATAATCAGACCCCATATCCCAGTAACTTAAGTTTTCATGAATGTAAAGCTTTGAAAGAACTACAACGACAT